GTTGTAGAATTAAGAACATGAAAGAACTTGAAAAAAGAGAAAGAGGGAAGAGAAAGAGATTTTTTATTTTTATCAATGAAATTATAAAAATAGAATAATAATAATTGAAGGCAGTGGAATGATGATCGCCTGCCATATTTTAGAAAATCTTGATCTGGACAACAGTAGAAATATTTATCACCACTCGTACTTATAAAAATTTTATTCTTCACCTCGTACGTCAAATCGGGTAATTAAACCTCAATAATATACTGATAAGAAAAAACAATATTCGATACAAATTCAATCCATAGACTAAAATAATAACGAATACTTAAATTTAGAAAAAACATCCCATTTCGTGACAGAAATAATGGAGTTAATTGCAGCTGATAATTTATTATAATGTGAAAAAAAATAAATTTTTGGAAAGAGGTAGAAAATTAGGGAATATTTAAAAAAAACAAAGGAGTAAGTAAGTAAGATAGAAGCGATAAAAATTCAGAGAGATTTTTTAAAAACGATTTAAAAAATTCGTCGAAAATCTTTTCTACAGAAAAAGAGAAGCAGGAGGAAAGGGCTCGGCTTCTGAACGACAGCAATAAAGCAGTCGCTTAAAAATGCAGTGCTCGTTGGCTGAAATGTGCGCCAACCATTTACTTTCTTAATTGCATATTCTATAATTAATTTTTCAGTTCATTTCTCGTTATTGCCTTTTATTCTAAATTTTTTCTTCGTTATTTCAATGTTTTTTAAAAAACCACTTGTGAATTGTGAATTAAGACAATGATACGAAGTCAATAAAAAGCGAAATTAGCTGGGATTGAATTAACAAGTTTTTCCATTGTTGATCGCTTGAATCTGGCTTTTTCATCATTAAATATAGATTTTACAGCTATTAAGAGGAACACCATTTTGTCTAAGCTCTTTGTCGCATCAAGTTTGCCATATTGCATGTAATTCCGATGGAATAAATTATGGATAAATGTCTAAGAAGAGGGAAACAGGGAGAAACATCGAATGCCATACTTATTCTGTAAAACATCAATAGGTCACTGCAAATCTTGGCTCCGCTAAAAAATTTTAAAGTTTCTTATTTATCTTTTATTGAATTTTAAAGTTTCTTATTTATCTTTTATTGAAGAAAATTTTATTGAATAAAGATGAAAATTAATCCTAAAAAACGCTTCTGATTTATTCATTTACATTTGATTGGTTTAATTTCATCGCTGCATTTGCGATTTTCAACTATTAAATTGTGAGAAATTTATTTAATTTTCTTGGGAAAGGAATTCAGAATAGAATATTTCTTTAGCATTTTGACGTCATTTTTCAGGATATAATTTTATTAAAATTGGCAAAAATCGTCTTAGAAGGATAATTTCAGCCGTAAAAATTTTTCCAATTACACGCACTGTTTTGGCTTCTGACTTTGTTTAGCTTTTGATAAATTTTTCACCGAGGATTTTGTTAGATCTTCGTTCCGAGAGGAAAGAGCTGAAAATACGTTGGTTCGCTTCGTCTTGCAGAAAATAAAGAGTCATTCGCTTCTTAAAGTAGTAATAAATAAGTATAAAATAATTTTTGCACTAAAGGGAATAAATAAGGAGTTTACTCCTTTCGATGATAATGATAATTCGAGATAGTAAACTATTTGTATAGTTGCAGCTAATATACTCGAAATGATACTATAATTAACGACCATTTGGCTTTCCATGCTTTTTGAGGTTTTCATTTGAAACCAATAATCCATCATTCATTTTTTCTCATAGATAAGAATGAATCTAAGGAATCTAGCTTCCTTTCATTATCGACATTTAATGAATGTTATGATGTGTTGGACATTCAAAGAATAATCAGTCAACCAGTTAACCAGTTAGTGGATTATCGTTTAAAAATACTGGTTTCGCATGACTGGCAATAAAATGAAATGAAAATTAAATGCAAATTAAAGTGCCGAAAATGCATTATCATCAAAAATATTGTTTAATATCCTCCATGAAAATCGAGGTTTTCAATATTTTTATCAGCATCTATCAGCTGTAAACAAAAAAAGATGATACCATCCTTACATTTTCAGTTTCAGTGAGATTTCTCGAAAATTAATGCATTTCATGAAAATATTCGCTGTCGCCATAATTTGAAAAGAAAAAACAATTTTTCTAAAAAGATTTAAGTAAAAATAAATATAGTTGAATCATTAATCATTAATATAGACTGGATAATGGGCACCGCCTGTCGGCACTCAAGAGGTGCCCAAATCAGTCCAGAGCATCGTATCACAGATCTTGAATAGGCTGATGATGATGTAGTCCTTTTTGCTAAGAGTTATAAAGGAAATGTTAAACAGTGATTCAACAGCTGCAGGAAGAATCGGACTTAGGGTCAACGTAAATAAAACGAAGGTTTTTTCGTCTTATGTGCAAGAAGTCTCTTTTTGTAAATTCATTGCCGATTGAGGAAGTGCCTGATTTGGGCCCACTCTATTACCAAATGGCCAGGAAATACTTTGGGCCCACTCTATTACCAAATGGCCAGGAAAAAGACGATATTATGTTTTCCGTCGTTCACTACAGGAGTTTCATATATTTATTTATTTATTTATTAATAAAACAAAACAAAATAAAATAATATGACAAAAATTAACAATTTAAAGAGGAAATTACAGATCAATATAATATAATACAATTCGAAATAACATATATAACCTAAAGATAAAATCGAGATTTCTCACTTCCTGCAATTTTTGCCTGGTGTAAACTCTTCTCTTTTTTTTTTATTAAATAATATCGTAAATGACATTATCTAGTCTTTTTTTAAAGACAGCTAAGGATGACGCACAAGCTATATCGTTCGGTAATTTGTTCCAGTAGTAGGAATAAAGAAGTCATGAGTCCTTAGTTTAGTTTTGCATATAGGTTTTAGTAATTTTGAGCCATTAGTTCTTGTTGGATTCAAATTTAGTCTAAAATTATAATATTTCGAGCAATCTAGTTTAACATAACCATATACAATCTTATATGTGTAAATTAAATATTGTTTAATTCTACGAACTGAGAGAGAATCCATGTTATGTTGTAGAAGTGTTCTTTTATAATTAAAATTATAATTTTTATTAGAAGAGAGGAGTCGTAGAAAATATTTTTGGAGTTCTTCAATTATTTTACCTGTTTTGCGATGTCTCGGGGAGTAACATGTAGTATTGTAGTCAAGAAGAGGCTGAACGAATGCTTTGTATAATTTGATAAGAAAACTTTCAGTTTTGTTCTTAAACGAACGCAAAATAAAATTTAGTATCCTTGAGGATTTCTTTACTATGGTTCTGCAGATTGAAGATCGAAATCGAGATTTTCATCCATGATTATTCCAAGATCGGAGATATATGAGACTCTATTGATTAAATTACCATTTATAAAAAGGTTAGGATGATCGAATCCTTTAGAGTTGATACGAAGAACGCTACATTTTTGAAAGGAAAGGGTAATTTGCCTATCATATAGCCAGTCAGTTATTCTGTTGAGGTCCTCCTGCAGTGGAGATAGGCTATCCGCTCTACCATGAGAATAATAAATTTTACAATCATCAGCATAAAAATAAATAACAGTAGAATTTATTACCACTGTGGTGATATCATTTATATATAATAGAAATAGCAATGGCGCAATACAACTACCTTGAGGTACGCCTGATTTAACAGGTATCATGTCAGAAAGAGTGTTGTTAACATATACCTGGTAACGATCTTTTATGTAATCTGACACTCAGTTATAGAGGTCCCCTGTTATGCCATAACTATTAAGAGTGACCAATAATTTGCTATTCCAAATTTTGGGATTAAGGCAAGACTTCATAATATCTTTATAAATTAAAAATAGGGGAAGAGAAGACTCAGAGAGACTGCGCATTTTTTATAAATTATTTGTGGAATGTTATCGGGACCAGCTGAAATGGACGGCTTAAGTCTATTTAAGGCATCATAAACATCCAGTAGTGTTCTTTCAACCTTGCAGAGAGAAGTGCAACAAATTCGATTTCGATTTATATCATAGTTCGTTACTTGCTGAAACCTGTGGTACGTGGCGTCAAAATCAAGGAGGGCCAGACAAGAGCTGGATTGATATAGACAAGAAAAATTTTGAACGTATAGGGAGACCAGCGATATATGGACTTAGACGATGGAAAAAGGAATGGTTTCTATTACAATGTCGACGATGGCATCAGACCGCGCCGCTTGGAAACGTTTTACCCTTGTAGCCAGCTCAGCCAGCCTAAGCAGTAACGGTGATTAGAAGAAAAAGAAGTTGAATCATTACAAAAAATTGTATTTTCTAGAAAAATATTCATATTTAGCCAAATCAGATGTTTTAAAATTTTCCAGCAGCATTCGCCATTTTTGACTTGGCTAGTTCCACTGATTTAAGGTTTAATCGCCTTACAGCCATTTGGAAAGAGAAATACAGATTGAATCGCCAGCACCATTCGATCTGATTATGCTGAGAGAACTGCCAAATTATTTAGGAGGATACTTGCAGGATACTTAACCAAATGAAAGAATAAAATTTCTGTCATTTTGTCATAAAATTAATTTCTGTTATATTATAGAATGATAAAGATTTATCAGTTAAAAATCGGGCTCATGCTAGAGCTTAATTTCGAGGTTAATCTTAAGCTAGAAAAACTTAAGCTTTAACATAAATCTGTACCTAAATGATTTCATAAATAATCGCATAATTAATCATTATAATCAATAAGAAAATGATAAAGGATGAATGAAGAAAGTTATTTCTTTTTTCATATTTTCTGTTATGAAGGTGAATGATGAATTGAATTTGAATTGAAAGTTTTAATTTTTTAAAAATTTAAATAAAAGTTTTAATTTTTCATTTTTTTTAAAAAATGATTATAAATGAATAAACGTCAATATTTGGTAAAAGATAATGTGAATCGCTAGTGAAGTGATGAATATGATATATATATATATATATATATATATAATAATAAATCATTGTTGATTTTTGCGAATGGTAAAGCTGCTCTATACTTTTCTAGGTCACTAAGTTATAATCTAATGGATTTCAAGAAACCAACTGGCTTTTTCGATCTTTTAAACGTTGATTTGGGACATCAATTTGATAGAAAAAAATTTCTTATTTGAATTTAAAATAATATCCATCATTTAATTATACTTCATATCACTTTTTGAGAAAATATTTTGCATAATAAATATGACAACAATGCACATTTTCATATTTTTTTAGTCCATTAATTTTTTTATTAATTGGCTTCAGGCAGCTCATCCTAACATAAACAATATTCCGCCATTGGATGTTCATTGGATATGGCATTGTCATATGTTAAGTCCAGTACATTATCAGCAGGTCAATCCTGAAATCTTCTTCATTCCTTTTTGGTTATTGATAAACCCTTTTGAATTTGAAATAAGAATGAGTTTTTTTCTACGTACCATATTTTTTGCAGGATTGCGAAACAATTTGCGGAACTGTAGTTGATCACAAATTATTGAGCTCTGAGGAAATCCAGGAACGATATGAACAATCAGTTAGCGCCTGGCAAAAATATTGTAGCGAACCGTATGATTTTCTTGCCTCTACCTCTAAGGTACAAAATCCACCCTATAAATCGAGATCATCGTACGATTTAGCAGCTGCAGCGCAAAGACAAAGCAATTTCAATTATCAGGTCGATTTTTTTAGTTCGGAACGTTTAATATGAAAATTCGTTGTCTTTGGGAATGAGTGGCGTTAAAGTTAATCTTATATAGTTAAAAAAGATTTCGAACACATAGGCGATTTAGCGATATATGGATTTGGGTGGGGAAAAAGGTTCACTCATTTATTCCTAAGAATAGCACAGTGCTATTAGAAGAAGAAGCAAAGATTAATTTTAAGCAAAGCCATGCAAGATTCAATTTCTTTCGAAGTCAAAAAAGCTTAAATTTATGTGACTACCCAGTTAACTTCATGATTTGTTTCATGCGACATGTGATTTTTCCAAAGATGCATCGGTATTCACTCTAACTCACGAACCCAGATTACCAGTGCATATTGTTGTATACATTCCTTCATTCGAATGAAGTTGAATTATTTAAAATGCCCATCCAAAACAACTAAAATTATTTTTCAGATCTCACTGCCACATTATACTTCTCCTAAATTTCTGGAAGATGCTGTTGATCGTTACCTCTGTTTTTTGCTTCTGAAACAGACATATACTGACCAATTTCTTACTCCCTGCTATGATTTTGATGTTGTATGGCATACACATCAAGTAATAATTGTTTACTATTTTTTTATTAATTTTTATTAATTAATTTTTAATTTATTAATTTATTAATTTTTTGTGATACTTCATACTATACATTAATAAGTCGAGGCTATCCATTAAATCAGAAATCTGGGAATTTCGTCAACAAGGTTCACAAATATTTATTTGTTTGCATGATTTTTTTAATGAAAAATAATCCTATCGCATTCACCTTATATCTTTATCATCATATAGATACATATATATATATATATATATATAATATAATAATAATAAATAATAATAAAAATAAATATAAATATAATAATAATAAATAAATATATAATACATAATATAATATATATATGATATTAAAAAAACAAGGTGATCTATTAGTTTGGCAGAGCTATAATCAGTTTAATTCCTATTCCTTGAAAAGGTAGCAATCGGCTTTAAAAGTGAAATCTGGGTGATGATAGATTCATCTATATTTCTACATCCAATGTCAGAGAAGTCTCATCCTAATAGCATCCAGTAAAGTCGGCCAAATCGAGATGAATTTATAAGTATAAAGAGCCCTTTAAAAACTTAATAAAAACCTAAAAGTCGTTCGCCACACTTTATTGATAACTAATTTTTATATAATCTTAACTAACTTATATAACTAATAATCTTAAATTATATGCTTTTATTAATTAAGAAATAGAGATACCTTTTGGTAATATTCTTATTACCAATATGATGAAAAATTTTATTGTTTTTTATTCTATTAATTGAAAATTTAATTAAAATTTAATTAAATTAAAAATTTCAGATTCATCCTCATTGTTACTTAAGAGATTGTACAGCAATATTTGGTTGGCTAATGAAACATGACGATACTGTTAATGACCGGTCAAAAAATAGTAAATTATTGAAAGGAGAAGCACTCACAAAAAAACTGTGGACAGCGCATTTCGAAGAGGGTTTCTGGAGGAGAGGTAGCATGTACAGGTTAGTATATTAAAGGCAGTAATGGTTGGTGGAATTCGTGTTGGATTGATTGGACCGTCCCTTAGATAATTCAGTAGAATTAAATCGATTTAATTCAGCACTAAGGTATAAGTTATCTATTTAAATATTTTACGGCCATAGGTTTCCTCTTGGAACAGAAATATAGGTGGGTATCACCATCCAGACTTCACATTTAATGGCCATGTTACTTCACTCAGAGTACAGAAAGCGAATCCTTATATGAGCTTATCGAAAATAAGTACGGTAAACAAAAATTCTTCGCTCACCATTTGTGTTAGCTTAGGCTATAAACTTTTGCCATTTTTTGATAGAATTATAAGTATCTCACCAATACCGCTTGTATAATGATAGATTTATTCTTAGTAGAGATGAAGTTCAAATTCTTTCCTCTCAGTACAATAATTTAAGCATTATCCACTTAGGAAACCATGATCGAAGCAACATGCAATTTAAATTTATGGTTTGAATCACTTTAATCCCTTTATCGTTTTAAACCATTATATTCAAATATCTTCACATATACGTTGGATCTATTAAAATCCGTACATTTTTTGTAACATTGCTTCATAGCAAATTGAATTATACAATAAATAATGAATAAAAAACATTTTATGGACATTTTTTTGAGAAATCTAGAGTATTTAAACTTGGGTTCGGCAAGTTTTGCTGTACTTCAAAAAAATTTTCTCAAATTGTTTAGTGCTTTACGAAAATTTTAGAATTAAACCAGAAGCAGATCAATGCATGGACAAATATTTTCAAAGAATATTTTTAGGGGACATCCAGCTCCAATGTTCTTAGGCTTTGAAGATGACGATTTAAACAACATCACTTATGGCCAACTACATATTCCCGCTATTGCTTTAAGAGAAATTCCTTTACAACGAGAACAACTTCGACTTAAATTATCCTTCGGTCATAAAAAAGTTACGACATTTAATGCCGATCTTACAACAAAACAAGTGCGTTAAAATCCTATGAAATTTTATAAATTTTATTTCTCCAAAACGATTTTTTTTTTATTTAATGTTTAATTAGACTAACAGGAACTTATATTTCAAATCTCACCACTTCTGATTTGCTGCAGTAACTACTAGGATGAGAGAGTTTCGCTAAAGAATCACTTGGCGATAGAAATACGAAGCTGCATATTTATTCTCTTTAAGGTTCAGCGATCAAACCTACATTGCTTGACTAAATTCGAAGACCTCTCAGCCATATTTTAAATAATACTATTCTTATTCCGAATCATTTTTATTAGTGATTAAAATTATAGCTAATATAATAGGTAGGATTATTGGGAAATCTCAAAAGCAAATTTAATCAATTAGTTTTCATCTTTAAGATCATAACTTTTAAAAAATTTAAATAATTTCAAATAATAATTTAAAATTCAAATAATTTATTTAAATTTAAATAAGGTTACGCAAATATAACCATTGCTGCTCTATTCTAAAAGAAATTGGAAATAGTAGATGGTTAACATTCACTATTCCCTGCTAAGTTAGCTTCGCTGACTATTGGTGCCATTAAAGATTTTTTATATACAGCAGAATCGCGTGGGTTTTTTAACAACTCTGTATAATTTTACTATTTTTTAACGCCAAATAGTTTTAATTCTTGTTGAGATAGGGAATCAAATAATGCTTGATATGAATCGAAGAGAGCTATTGTTTGACCATGTTTTTCCTGAAAATATTGAAAATTTTTCAATAAATAATTTGTCTCTTTTTAAAGTTTAATTAATTTATTGCTAAACATTTGTATTTATTAAATTGTTCACCTATATTGCTGAGAAAATTTTAAGGTAACCAAAACTGGTTTTTCATTGGTCTGGCAACCTACTGAAAACACAGGAAACAATTCAATTGTAAAATTTCCATTTGAAAAGCGAAATCCTAAAGACTTATTCGTTGAACTTGAATTATATGATAAAATATTTTTGCAAAAGAAAGATATGATAAAGCTGGTCGGAAAGACGTCCCTTCATGGAGTAAGTGTTTGCTCTTCGATAAATTGCATTCTTTTACGGATATTGGGCTGTCAATGACAAGAAATTTTCAGAGAATTTTATTATAATTCTAAGTATAATAAAATTTTTTTTAATCACCATTTTTATTTTTATTTTTATTTAGCAGAAAGCAGATGAATCCTCAGGAAATCCGGACTACGTATAAATGAATTAATAATTAATAAATAAATAAATTAAATAAACTATTAATAAATAAATTAATAATGAATATTATATAAGAATTATATTTGCCAAGATAACTGCAATTAATTTATTTAATTTCTAATTTAACGGTAGTAATTAGAATGGCCGAGTAATAACAGCTTCGATTAAGATTGAGTACCATACTCCTATTCTATTCCTATTCCTTGATTAGAATAAATGTGGAAGGGAAAGTCGAGTGATGTTAAGGCTTCACTGGATTCCTTCTAATTTTTAATCAGCTCTCCAGAATCTGAGTGGTCATTAAAGCTAGCCAAACCAGAATTGGAAAAAGAAATGCCAGAATGGCCTATCGTCTTTATGGCCTCGCTTCTATACAGTACAGTACAGTTTCTGTACAGTTTTTGATCCGGCCATGTGAATCTTATCACATTTTCCTAATATTTTTCCTAATACGGAGAATACGTTGCTATGGAAGAAAAACATCAGAAAATGCTATTTGTTCAAAACGTTACATATTTATTTATTCTTCGGAAAAAAAACGTTTTCGGATTTTTTTCCAATTTTGATCTTTGTTTTGCATTATTTTCAAGTACCTTTTATTTATTCCATCAAACTTTGCCTTTCTGATTTATTTACAGCTTTTGCCATCAGCGAATTCAAAATCTGCGCAAAACGTAGCGCAAATCAGCGTTAAAAATCGCGATGGTGATATCGAATATAACGCTAAAATAAATGTTACAACAAGGTTGCTTAATCGTGCATTTCATCAAGACTCCCTATTTTTTTTTAATTTTACCTTAAATTTTTCTTGAAACAAAATTTTTTTCCTGAAGGGGTTGCTTGCTTCCGTGTTTCTTTTTATTTTTTAAAATTCATAAGAACTCAAATGCCAAAGCAACTTCTCCAATTTTTCTAAACTCTATTCAGAAAATCATATCTTATTTTCTAGTTTATGTTTAAATCGAGAATTCCAACTAATAGTAGGCGAATTCATGCAACAAGAACTCATTCCTGATAGTCGATTGTGGTTCCTATGTCAATCTTCCACCCTCAATAGATCTGCTCTTCAGCCTCAGGCTGTAGTTCATAAGGCTACTCATACGTAAGTATTCCTCAATATTTATAAATCCAATTGCTAAAATAATTTTAATCTTTAACAATATATTGACCACTAAAAGGTTATAATTTCTGGTTATCATTTATGAAGATATAAGATGGATCTGTGTGTAATATAATGTTCTTGTGGAAAAACCAATCGTTTTAAATGATGGATGCCTAGAGAATGTTTTAGAATATTTTGGAATTATTTTCATAGACCTTCAAAAGTCCCTTGATTTTTCCACAGGAAATGAAAAAAACTTGGTGAAATAGGTGAGATGCCCGTCTTTTTTAAAAGCAATACGAAAATGATCACGTAAATCGTAAATAATAGCTATCGTTTCTACATTAGCTTGGTTGATTCTCGCGATGGCACAAAATATACGGTACAAGTTGTGCATAGTGCTGCGCTATTATTATCAATGATTTTGGTATATGGTCGGGAAAAACGATTATTAAGTATGGCACATCTCATCGGTTCTGATTCATTGCCATCAAAGAATCAACTTGATCCTAATCTCGTTCGTTCTGTTTAATGTCTCTTTTTCATTGGAAAAAATATCTGGGATCCAGGGCTAAAATGTTCTTTTTTTCTTGTTTGCTAATCACTTATCATTCTATGTTCTATGAAATGCATGAAAAAATTAATAAAATTTGTTATTAAATTAGCGACAATATGGATATTAAGTGTAGTCTTTCGTCATGCACCATTTTTTTGATAAAATCTGAAGAATTTACCCATTAAACATATGGCTTAGGTAAAAGATAACATTTTTTACATTTTTTAGTAGAAAACCATTCGGTAAATATATTTTTAGCAATTTTTGCCGCATCTCTCTTCTCCTGATGAGAGAGCATTTGTCGTGTTAAACAAAGATGGTGATTTCGCCATAGTGAAAGGAAAATGGGTAGGTTTTACTAGGAAGACACTTGCCAATAAAGGCCAAAAGGCAAAATCCGGCAATCCTGGCAAATTACAGGTTTGTGCCAATACCATTATTCAGATGGTATTGTCCTTATAACAACAACCTTTATTTCTTTATTTTTTAAAATCAATAAGCTATTAATAAATCAATCAATCAATAAGCTAAAAATCAATAAGCTTTAAAGCTATTTTCTCAAAGTTCAAAATATTTCTTCACTCACTCATATTTTTAGCGGCAATATTATTTGAATGCATGGCTTTCAGGTGGAAGCATTTAATTTGCTCAAGAACACTGTGCAAAAAATAGAAGTGCCTGGCCCTGAAGGAAGCACTCTTATTATAATTGGCGGTAAGTTATTTTTACATTATATTATATTATATTATATAGCTGGGAAATAAATTTACTGTGATAGTTCGCATATACTATCGAAGTCTAGTCATACAATAAGTTCCAGATGCGCAGGTGCGATTACCTGGAAAAAGAATACAATGTAGATCAACATTCACAGCGGAACATCTCGCTTGCATTTTTAGCGTGGCTACTCTTTTTGTCCTCTGTAATCCTGATAAAGTAAGCTTCGAATCTTGGTTATGAAATAAGTTTAGAATAATGGCATTTAAGGTTTATTTCTGGTATTTCAGTAAACATTTATCGAGGTGCTATGTTTGGGAATAAATAGATGGAATTTTAACAAATTAAGACTCATAAATTAATAAATATATAAATTAATAAAATTCATAAATAAATAAATATTGGACAAATGAAACAAAGGAATAAATAATCAAAAATAAAAGAAATGAATGAAATAAATAGTAAAATATACAAATATATAAATATAAATATATAAAAAATATATATATATAAATTATATATATAAAATATATATGAAAAATATATATATATATTTCAGCAAATGAAAAATAGAGGAAGGTTCGACATATTTCGGCAAATTTGCTGAAATATATATATATATAAAATATAATTAAAATATGCAACATAATGTAAAATATGATTTATATAAATATTGTTTTAAATACTAATATTATCGACCGTAAAATATATTAAGATTTCCAAGAATTTTGTATGATTTAAATAGGTTCGATCTGTTAGTGATACGACAAATGTGGGTTATCAGTGCCATAAATGGCCACTGACTCTAGCATGCGGATATGGTAGGGCAGTACCATCCAACAAATATCTCGTTTCTCAACAAGAAAATGCTACTGGCTTTGAATTACCTTCTACGATATTTGCACTATGTTCTGCAGACTGTGATGGAGCTACTTGCGGTTCATGTGGAGCTTGCGGTTAATTTCTACAGATCATTACATTAATATATATTTGACTTATGAGTCTGTCTAGTCTTAACTGAAAAAACTACTGCAAAAAAACTAAATTCTATGAAAAAATTGTTGCGGAATCGTCTCATTTTTATAAATTTGGACTTTATAGGTGCTTGTGGTGCATGTGGTGGATGCGGTGGTTGTGGTGGTTGTGGCGGATGCGGTGGATGTGGATAAGCTTTCTTCTCAAGATGTAATAAAAAATGTAATACAAATGAGCACACCAGTCCTTTTAGTTTTGTCTTAAAAAAACGCACTAGTCAGCCTTTTTTAATGTGCACTGTTATGATCTTAAAACACTTCGTCATTCCTAATTTTCTATTTCATTTTAGGGAACAGCTTTATTTTTTTGACTTGCGAATTTTTTTATTTCAGTCTTATTTTCATTTTTTGTAAATTATTTAATCAATAAGCCAAATAGAAATTGTTATTACTGTGACTTTGTATTAAAATTTTTAAAATTTTCGAAAATTTATAAATTTTTCAAAACATTTGGCAAAATCGTAGAGCCATTTAGCCAAAAATCGTAGGAATGTTGCCTTATTTCAGTCCTAAAAGAAATGCAGATTGGCTTCTTAATTTTAAACTGGTAGCCCCTCGCAAATATAGATAAGAACATATAATCATTACTTTTAATCATTGCTTTTATCAGTATATAATTTTATGAAATTTTATTCTCTGTTGAAATTTTTGTTTTCCTTTTAATGATTCGTATTCCTATAAAAAAGTTATGAAGAATATTGTTATAATATTTGCAAGTCTTCTATTTTATTTCTAAAAAATAATGGATCTTTTAAATTCATAAAAATTGATAAATAGATAAGAAGGTTTTGAACAAATTCATTTTGAATTCGAAATTCTAAATTTATCATTTCTTCTGTCCATTATTATTTCATATCCATATCAATATTATTATTTTAAATATTTATAAATATAAATATAAATATTTGTTTTGCATTTCAGTTTGTTTACTAAATATTTAGCAAATATAATATTTGAAAATAAAGAAAAAGAATAAAGAAATAATAACAACAATCAAAAGGTGCGTTCATATCTATTTATCATATCATTGAGTATTAATTTTTCCCTAAAATTTTCCCTCCTTCTTCATTTTTCTAGTTAGAAAATCTGCTTGAAATGATGATTATAGATTTTAAGCAAATTCCAATAGATTTTGCTGAGTTTGACCGATTTCAAAACCTTCCATAATTCCTGAATAAAGTATCGAGAGATTTAAGTCAATGATTTTGTTATCTTCCTTCTCAATCAATTGCTGGAATTCGTTAAAAGGGAATTCAGTACAATTTTTTTGAGGTTATTTGATTTAATTTAAAAGATAAATCTTGCTTAATCTCAATCCAATAAAATCTCAGTCGATTTGAGATTCGATTTCATTTCAAATTTAAAAATTTTTAAAAGTAAATTCGGTCGCTAATATTAATAAATATAGTTAATTAAGGCAAAATTTACTGTGTCAATTTATGTCAATGTCAATTTACTAAAATTTACTAAAATTATATCGATTTCATATTTATTTATTTATTCATGCATATTAATAACTGAAGCGTTCTGAATTCATTTCTTATAATTCAATTTGTTCTCAAAACTTAACTCAAAAAACGGGTTACTTGAGGGTTTATTTATGATTTGTACTGCCTTGGCTGTTTATTTCTTTCTTGCTTGCTATATGATTTAAGAAAACTGAAGACCAATAAAATTTGGCAGCAAGGGCTTATAATTTTTCGCGATTGAGATGTTAATCGATTTTCCACTAAGGAGAACTATTGCTGTTTTAAAATGCTCATAAAAGCCAGTCGAATACATGGATGGATTTATAATCAAGCTTATAATATTATTCTGAATTCACTGATATAATTGGTATGCCAATGGACGTCAGTTATATTACCACCACTTTGCTCTTCCTCAATGTAATTATTTGGCGATTAATATTTTCGAAAGATTTCGAATCGCTCGCTACTTGTCAGTGTATAAATTTTAACATGAGTGGTGGTATATTTCAGTCACCGAATTATCCGATCATATTTTCTGATGAAAAATGTTTTATATATCAGTTTATTGCACCTACTAATTACATTGTCCAAACAATTTTCAGTTTCTTCAATTTATCACCTCGTCGTAATGATAGGTAGATTTTATAAATTTTGGAGCACTCATAATCCTTTCCTAGGTGTCTGAATTTTTTAAGGATTTATGATCAAACAATGGAAGGCAGAATTGATGAAGCGACACCGTATAGTCATGAACTTTGTGGTGTGGAAGTTAGTTTTTTTCTTTTATTTCATGGAAAAAAGTGGAATTAAGCGAAAATAAGTTTACAAAATTTGTCTATACTTTTTTAATCTTGGTTTTCTATTTTTACTGCTGTCCTAAGGGCTAATAATCACCGTTCACCACTTCTAATATGCAAATTTCCAGCTCAATGACTTTTTTAATAAGGTGTACTTGAGATAAGGTCCAAGATGTTCGAGACGAATCTGTATAGTAACCATCCGGCCATCCTTTGTCAACGAGAAAAAATTTGCTTTTCGCAAATCCTAATCTTGTCGAATTTGCCGCTATTTTATCACTATAAACAACAGTTTTCATCGTGCTTCTTGGTTGATGTTCAACAGAGTCAAATTTAAGTTTCATAAATTGCGTTTAATATCTAGTAAAGTAACTTTTTTTAAGTAGTTCATCAAAAAATTTTCGACAAAAAATACAAAAGCCTCCTTGGATAGCCAAAAAATGAAGAAATTAAATATTAATGAACCGTACAGAGAGGCTTTTCATACTTCCCATCTTAGCCAATTATTAATTTTTCAAAATTTTTCTAAGCTAATCATCATTTATCTTCATCATTTAAATTTCGATATTTCTTTCAGTTAAAAGTTATTAGTTATTAAAAGTTACTACAAATAAAAAAGTGATTATTAAGAGGTATCGAATTTTATGCCATTTTGACTGCTGTCATTTCAAGGAATTATTCTATATGAAATATATTTTAAAAAATTAGAAAATATCGAAAATGTCATCAACTTTATTGCTTTCATATTATTTTCATTAAAATTTTTTGTATTCACTGAGAAATTGACATTAAAAATGAATAAAATGCAATTTTTTAAAAAGAAAAAGAAAAGAAAAAGTCGAAAAAATTGGTAAAATAGTATGATAAAGGTGCCGCTTCATATAAATGTCTATAAATATATCGTCAAATGTTTCTTTTTATTATTCTAACAACATTCTTACCATTCCTGGTTTGGCTATCCTTGCAGGTCACAGGTTATTATAAAGCAGCTATTAGGGAAATATACAACACTTACTTGGAGATAAAATCTAGAATGAACCATCATCACAAGACTGATTTCACTTTTATAGCAAATTTAAATTTTATGAAAGAGCTAATCTATGATGGCTTCGCTTTCGAGCAATGTGCCCCTCCAGTTTTCCTAATTTGTTTATTTATTGTTTATTAAATGATCTGTTCTTTGGACTAAAATTTTCATTTTAAAAATTTTTTATTTTTTTACTTCTAAAATTTATTGAGTGAATTTGCTGAAAATTTATCGTAATTTATTGAAAATTTATTGAAAATGAAAATGGAAAAATATTAATAATAAAGACGATGCTTCTGTTTTATTCTTTACTGGTTTACTGGTACACACATTTTTCTGGATTCACTGCCATTTATCTATATTTATAATTGAATAATGTATTTGTAAAATTTTTTCTAAGGCGTATCATTTATAGTTAAGCTAGCTCTAAATACTCGTAGTACCAGACAAATTTTTTCATTTGGCGATAGAAGTTCAAGTGGGTCACCAGCACCACCTGGATTTTTGAAAAATCCTGTGGAGAATAAAACTGCAGTATCGACGTTCTAAAATAAAAGCAATAGCCTACTGAACCATTCCCCAAAATAGTTTGAATCCAAAATTATTAATTTAGAAAGTAGCTTATAAGTTTTTCTTTTATTTTTTAATTATGATAAATTAGGGTTAAGTTTAGTCAGTTTGCAGGTGGTTTAATAATGTATAGAAAAGGAAAGCAGATCTTAAATGATTGATGTAGATAAATTTTCCAGAGCCAGAAAATTTTTAAGACTTGTAAAACTCATTATTAAATATGTTATTCGCGTGAAATTCTTTGCATAACTCTTAAAATATTTGCTTGGTGATGGATGCGCAAATGCGCCCCCAGGATCATCCAAATTTCACTTTCAATGACTCAGAGATGCGAGTATTATTCTACTTTCAACCAGAGCAACATACCATATCATCTTAAAACGATGCTATATAGTTTATCATTATTTTCAGTTTAGACTAAGAAAAGTTACCTCGATGCCTCTTAGTGAAAAGAGGTTAGTGAAATTTTTTTCTTTTTATAAGCGGTTGTACAAATAAATATTTTTGATATATTCTCAGCGATTTAATTCAGATTGCAGCAGGCACAGCATTTTATTCCTTAACGAGTTATCTTGTCTTTCATTTACGATTATCGCATGGAATTAAAGGATTTCATGGAACATACAAATTTGTCGCCAAAGGTTCATTTGTTTCAAATTGCCTATGTTATTGTTCATTGCAACCAATTTTCCGCATTTTCTACTTGTAAGCCAAAAAATTAATTTAAAAAGTTGCTTTTTATATGCCATTTAAGAAATTAAAGAAAAATTAAATTCAAAAATTTCACCTAAAACGTATAAATAATACAGGAAAATTTCGAATGAATGCTACAGAAGTACAGCCGTGTCGCTATAGTATGGATTTTCTCGAAGGGAGCATATTTTCTCCGCAATATCCCTACAGCTATCCATCATTAGTTAATTGCTCCTATTATTTTCCAAATCGGAATTCAATGAAACTAGTGCTTTCTTTAGATTATCTTGATTTGAATACAGATTCGTGTAGAGCGGATTTCATCGATATTTATCAAATGCAGCCTAAGGTATGTTCTACTTTTCACAAATACTATTTCTTATCCAACAAAAGAATTCTTTTGCTTTATTTCGATGCTTAAATGAAATATACTTTATTTTGAACAGTTTTTTATTTTTAGTGATAATGCCAATAAAAAATTTGCACCTTTTGCCAATAAATTCTTAGACTCACCATTTTTCGTTAAGTCATTTCCAAGAGGATTAATAAATAATATAAGAGCGAGCAGTTAGTTAGACCTCCTCCCTTTTTTGCCATTTATAGAAATAAAATTGCGAACCAAAGATGCTTTAAAATTTAATTAGTCTATTACACAAAAGAAAGTTATAAAAGGCAGCAAAATCCAATTCTTTGAAATTATTTGAGCAAAAAAGAACAAACCAATTGAAATTTTTTTTCCTTCTAACTAAAAGAGATTTATACTGGATTAAAAGCATTAGAGAAATATTAAAATATAGCTCCTTTAAAAATTTTCAAATTTTCACTTGTTTGGAGAAAAAATTTTCGGCAGTTTAACATTGTAAAGTTACACAATTATATAGGAAATTTGAGAAATTACATGTGAAAAAGCGAAATTTAAAGCTAGAATGAAATTAGCCAATAAGAAGACTTCAATTCAATACCAATTTTAAATGATAAAATGCTTATGAAAATCCACTTATCATGCTGAAATTCTAAATCAAGAATGAGATAGCTGCCTTATTTCCAATATTGAATTCGGGGTTTCAATTTTATTACAAGGCGGTATTAAAATAATCATTAAGAAAACTAATAATAATTTTATACCAAAGAAGATTGCTAGGGATATTATTAATTCCTTAAAGCGACTGTAAGTCTATAATCTGAAAGTTTTGAAAAGCCTATAACTAATTAGCCAAGAAAATACCTTTTCAGATTCATTTGGATAGACTTTGTTACGATTCTATTCCTCCCTATTCAATTTCGTCGAGAAATGGGTTGATTTTACAGTTCCACTCGGGAATAAACGACAAAAAACAAGTATGTTGATAGAATTTAACTATGGCCTAACTGTGGCTTATTTAAACTGCCTGAAAATGCGTCATGTAACTTGTAATTTCTAAGAAATCTCTATAGCTCGCTTTGCTAAATTAAACAATTTTTGAGCTAAATTAAACAAATTTTGCCAGAGAGACATTTGATGATAGAAGTATCGGTAAGCAAACAACAGGCAAACTTTTTTGAAAGGTAGGCTTGTGTTTTTAAGCGTAAAAATTCAGCATCAACCATAGTTCAGCGACATTGATGAAGTGTGAATGTAGTATTAAAAAACCTTTTTCTCACTTCCTTTCCACTGGACGGTATGCGCTATCCTCAATCTCGCGTGCCAAAAGACCTAAAAGCTTGAGGATGCTTAGTTGCCTAAACAGTTTTGGAAGAATCTAGCCATATATTAAGCAGACATTCCTTAAGTAATACTAGTTACGAAGGATTTACTTTGTATCTTTGAGAACGACGAACATGTCCGAAATGTTTGTTCTAAGGAACGTTTTGAGATGTATTTTTTATCACCGAATTCTTCAATGAGATAAAGTTTTCGTAAACGTCATCTCATAGATTCAGTGTATTTTGTAACAACCTTCATTAAAAATCCCATAGTGAAGTTCCATAGCTAAAAACGAATCTTGAAATAATCTTGAACTTCAGCAGCAATTGATCAACTATGTGGCCAAATTTAGTAAACGACCGGGTTATTTTACGAGCGAAATATAATTTCATACTATGGTTGATACGTTTTTGTTGAAAAAAGTGATCGAGAGCTTTGAAATTTAGTTTCATCATCAGGCATGACTGGAGTATAAAAAGTAATTTAAAGTTTAGGCTGTCCAAGTTTTTCAAGTTTTTTTAAGCATTCTCCATAATCGAAACCAGCTTTA